GAGCCACAACAGAGCTGCAGATTATAGCAAGCTTAGAATTTGTTCTGGAATTATTATTGCTATCTTCACAGCATAATTCAAATTAGCTAGCTAAATTTCATTTTATTTCATTCAATTTTAAGGGAGTCATCTTTTTAACAATTACGTTTAGAGTGCCTCATACAGAGATTTGCACAGACCTATAGAGAATCAAAATGGAATGAAATCATATGTGTGCATGTGTGTGTGTGTATATACATATATATGAATACACATTTGCACACATATATAGATACACATAGGTACAGAAAGACATAGCTGTAAAGGAGGATAGATTTAATTCTTACTCTGCCACTTAACACCTGTGGAAGATCCCATGAGTTCTAACCACACTCTAACTCTCCATTTTTCTGTATAAAATTAAATCATTCAAATGTTTATCTCATAGAATGTTGTGAGAACAAGAGAATAAACATATGTACCTATGATTATATACAGATGCTCCTGGACTTAACATGGGGTTAAGTCCTGATAAGCCCGTGGTCAGTAGAAGACAATGTAACTCAAAGCATTCAGTGCACCTCACCTACTGAACATCAGAGAACAGCCTCACCTACCCCAGAACACTCAGCTCACTGCTCAGAACACTCACGTGAGCCTACCGCTGGGCAAAAATCATCTAGCACAGAGCAGCCTGTTTTGTAATAAAATGTTGAATACCTCATTTAATATTGTACTCAAAGTGAAAGCTGAATGGTTTTGCAGGTACCCTACAGACAGTTTCTATGGAATGGATCACTTTGAGATCATGCTTAAATTTAAAAATCTGAAGTCAAATTATTAAGTTATGGACTATTTGTAAGTGCGTGTAGGTAGATGTATATGTTAACATGTATGTGGGAGGAAGTGGGGGAGACAGACACATAGAAAATGGAGAAATGGGGTGTGCATGGGAGTTTGGTACATAACAGAAAAAAATTGTCTGGAATACAATGCAGTGATAACTACCATTTTTTGTTTTTGTGTTTTTCGCTTTGTCATCTGAGGCTCACTTTTCCTTTCGGAAAACTCTTGATCTACATATTGATTTGGGACTGGGATGTGGTCATCTGTCTTCCTAGGTAGCTCTTTTCTGGGCTTTCTGGCATCCTTTTTTGCTCTGATCCCCCACACCACAGGGAAACACCTGGTACCAGCCTCATCACTCGATGCCCACTGGGCTGGCCCAGGAGCAAATTCGGTGCTGGTTAATTCAGACCTCCATGGAACATCCTGAAAGCTGTCTCCTTGGTAATTATTCTCAGCTGCAACTGTGGTCCCATCAAAAAGAAACCAGGGGGGAACCAGCAGTTAGCGTAATGGCTATGTCACTGGATTCCCACGTAGTCAACTACAGTTCGTGTCCTGGACCCGGTGGCTTAGAACTCCCGCCAGGTGCATGTGCATGCGTGCCCAAGATCCCAAGAGGAGAATGGAGGAGAAGGGATTGCAGCGTGACCAATCCCCCTGGGAGGGTGATTTCTCGCTCTCTGTCTCTATGTCCCTCTCTGTCTGTCTGGCGAGCACATATGCCCTATAGCGAAGACCTCTCAAAAAAAAAAAGAAACCAGGGGAAAATATTCCTGAAGCTCTTGGCTATGCCCACTTCAGACACAAACTCTGGGACTTGATGGTTCTGATATGGCTCTTCCTGTTGCCTCCATGAGCTTAATGGTGCCTCTTGTGTCTCTTACCTGAAGGTATCACTAATTATGACACTGAGATGCACAACCATGTCTCAATTAGTTGAGTTCATTTACTTATTTGTAAAGAAACACAATTAATAGAATAAGCTGTACCTATCATGTTTTGCAGGTCAACTTTGAAAAGATAACTGTTTTGACTGATCTGTTCTAACTAAAATGAGGAAAACTGTTCATGCTGAACTATTCATATGCAGAGATGATGAACATATGTTTCTAATTTCGAGCTGAGAGAAAAGCAAAAGTAAACAAATTTAGCAAATCTCAGTTCTTGACAGCCACTCACAGGATAGCTCAGCTAAGAAATGAACAGATGGCCAGGGAATATGGAAGCCAGCTCATTGTGGAAATGCTTCTAGACTTTGCGTCTCATGTCTGCAGTAACCTTACTCCTTCTGTGATCAACTTCAAGTCCTTGAACTTCTCCTGTGGATGTACCCACCAGGAGATGGACATGTTTACATAGGTAGGTGAGCACTATGGGACAAAATGGACCCCTCACTATTTTACGTCAAACTCTAAGTTGATGAGAATATTAGATCTCTTCGTAGCTCCCCCATCTGGATGCCATTAGGTGGTTCAACTTGCCTCAGTATGTGCGAAGTTTGACAGAGAGGGGAGCTGATTGCATCTGGCCTGTACACAGAAAATGGGGTCAAAAGTAAAGGAAGAGGCTGGCCACCATGATCCTAGGCTTCTTTTTCAGCCACATAATAGACACCTCTAGCTGCTATAGCAAAGAACCAGAATGGGCGGCTCAAATAACAAGTATTTATTTCCCAGAGTTCTGGAGGCTAGGTGTCTGAGGTCAGGGTGCCAGGATGGTCTGACTCTATTGAAAACCTTCCGGCTTGCAGAAGGCCGCCTTCTCGTTATAGCCTCACACGGCAGAGAGTATGCTAGCTAGCTCTCTGACCTCTTCTTGTAACAGCACTAATTCCATTCAGGTGACTCCACTCTTATGACCTCGGTACCTACCAAAGTCCCCACCTCCAAATACCAGTGGACTGGGGATTTCAACACGTGGTTTGGGGGTAACACAAGCATTCAATCTCTATCAAGTCATGGTTGTTCTACTATGGTCAGTCTATGGGCAATTCACTTCTTGGCACATCTGTTTGTTTTGTTGAAACAGAGATCAGAAAACTTTTTTTTTTTTTTGAGAGATTTTCACTGTAGGGCGCATGCGCTCGCTCGCCAGACAGACAGAGACATAGAGACAGAAAGCGAGAAATCAACCCCCAGGGGGGATGGTCACGCCGCAATCCCTTCTCCTCCATTCTCCTCTCGGGATCTTGGGCACGCACGCACACGCGCCCGGCGTGTGTTTTAAGCCACCGGGTCCGGGACATGAACCACGGTCAACTACGTGGGAGTCCAGCGACATAGCCATTACGCCAACTGCTGGTTCCCAGAGATCAGAAAACTTTTTAAAGGGTCTCATAGTACATATATTAAGCCTGTGTGCAGATAGTCTCTGTTGTAACTATGTAACTGTCCTTATAGCTTAGACTGTATGTAAATAAATTGATATGTTTCTGTTCCAGTAAAACTTTGTTTTTTGTTTTTGTTTTTTGTTTTTTTTTTTTTTTTTGAGGTTTTTTACTATAGGGCACATGCGCTCACCAGAAAGACAGAGAGACAGAAAGCGAGAAATCATCCCTCAGAGGGGATGGCC